TTCTTATCATATTTTCCATTCTCTCCCTCATCCACTCTGCTTTAGCCTCAATACTCTTCTTGCTATTCTTTGGGCACCTCAGTTCTGTTCCCACCAAGACCTTGGCACTAGCTGTGCCCTTTCTTCCCCTCCTTTCTTTCTTTCTTTCTTATCATATTTTCCATTCTCTCCCTCATCCACTCTGCTTTAGCCTCAATACTCTTCTTGCTATTCTTTGGGCACCTCAGTTCTGTTCCCACCAAGACCTTGGCACTAGCTGTGCCCTTTCTTCCCCTCCAGATTCATAGGTTAATTTTCTTCCTTCCTTCAGATCTTTACCAAGCACCCTATCTAAAATTGCAATCCTACTCTACTTATTTTCTCCTTAACTTACCATCATTTAATACAAAACATATTTTACTTTGTATTGCTATTATTATTATTTGGTACTGAGAATTTAACACATGGGCACTCTATCGCTGAGCTGCATTCCCAGCCTTTTAAATTTTTAATTTTGAGATAGGGTCTTGCAAAAAGCAAACAACAACAAAAAAATAAGTTGTCTTTCAATTGTCCTGAACAAGAATAGGTGAAAGGTGAGGATATGAGGAGACTAATTGCAAATATATATATATATATATATATATATATATATATATACACACACACACACACACACATGTGTATATTTGTATATGTACATATTTTTTTTCTTGAAGCCTTCTTGGGCAGGAGAGGGAAAGAAAGAAAAAGTATAATTAGTCCTATAAAATGACATTTTCAGACTACCAGTTATGTATTTATAAAGTATATGAATGAAGCTTTCACATCAGAGGACCCACATAAAAAGAGGCTGCCTTTTCAAACAGAGGGCTAGTCATTGTGGTAAGCAACCTTTAAGATGGCTCCCAATTATCTTCATCCCTGGGCATTCATGTCCTTATGTAATCCTTTAAGTAGAAGCTGAATTTAGTAATTTGCTTCTAAAAAATAGAATATGGCAGAAAGGATGGAATCCTACCTCCAAGATTAGGTTATAAAATGATTGTGGCTTTTGTCCTTAGCATTCTCTCAGATCATTTGCCATGGGGGAAGCTGGTTGCCTTATTGTAAGGCAGCAACTTGGAGAGGCCAATATCACAGAACCAGAGCCTGCCAACAACCATGTGAATAAGTTTGGAAAGAGACGCTTCCTGAGTAGAGAAATCACATGAGGTTATAGCTATGGCYAACAYCTTGATTGTAGCCTTGTGACAGACCTGGAACCAGTGGCACCCAACTAAACTGCACCAACTCCGGACTCGGTGAATTTTAGGACAATAGTTAACAGTCATATCATTTTATCGTTAGGAATGGGTAAACCAACACATTGAGAAAATTTGGTTCTTTAACCCTAAGTTTTAACATAAGCCACCACCAATTGTATCCAGAATATTTTGTTATAGCACATTAGCCCCAAATTTCTGCAGTAACTTAGTAGAATAAACTATGACCATGTCTACCTAGCAGGGAAGGAAGGAGTTGCCATTAAACAGTTAATTTAAATCTGTGTCAACTCTGAAAACATTTATATCAGCTGTTTTCAATGGGTTAAACAAGCCCTATGATTATTCCTTTCCCTGGGGGCTGGTACATATTCTCTAAAGATGTGTTTTGCAAATAAAACCTTTAATATTTTATCTTGTGAACATGTTCAGCTGCCCCAGACCTGGCATTGATCTGACTTCTACTTTCTAAGACAATCCTGAACTGTTTCTCAATAAGGATCATCCCTTCATGTCTTGCAGTCCACTTCATGGAACAAAGAAAACAGAACTGCTTGTGGACCCACTCCCAGATSGATCAAGTGAGTTTTCCCAGGCTGTACCTATCAGCCTCTAAAGTAAACACTCACCTGAGTAAGAAAAATAAAAGTAATGAAGTAAATATTTTCTTAGAAGTACATCAGGTAAAAAGCACTTGATTCATATTTTTAGATTCAGTTATTCAAACCACACATATTGTCTATGAATACATAAACCAAACTGTTCCATAAGCTGTAGGGATAGAAAACCACCAAATCCTACCTTTGAGGAACTTATACTTTTTAGGACTTTCTACATGAGACCAAAAAAAAAAGGGGAGGGGTCATTAAATCAATGTTAATTTCTGCATTCATTTTTCTGTATAGATGTTTTGCTAGATTTTGTCAAGGATACAAAAATGTAGCAAATGTTTTTTTTTTGTTGTTGTTTTATGTATTTTTTTTTCCTGAATTGAACACAGGTCAGTAACCACATCCCTTGGAAAGCTGGTATTGCCAGTGTACCATTTTGTAACATCTGTTCTCACATCCCTAAGAGCAGGTATGTAGTTGGTGACCATTTCAGTCTACAGACAGCACTAGCTCTCATTTTCCAGACAAAGATGGATACGGAGTTACACCACCAACAAAATGATTTTTTAGAGTGAATTTTTTAAAAGCATTTCTCTCATATGGTTGGGTACAGTATTGATTGTGCAATAAATTATTCTTAATCCAATTGGAATTTAGAAGAATCCAGATTAGTATGTTTTCAAAAAAATAAGATCTTTAAAGTTGGGCAGACTCTCAGGATCTCTTTGGTTCTCTAGACTCTTCTAAATTCCAGAAAAGAAGAAAAATTCTGAGCAATGCATGATTTCCATCTAATAAAGAAGGAGAACTTGTGAGCCCACTTTTGCTATTATTTAAGACCTAGAAATAAGGAGGGAAATACTTGTTTAGTTCACCGTGGTGGTCTGCAAACTATACCTTTCTCATAGGCCTGAGATGGCAAAATATTTGTGAATTCTTCACTTGGCAGAACAGGTTCAGGGATGTTGATGGAGCGGAAAGGGCTTCCTTGGGCTTGTTGAGCAGGCCCAGCCTGTGTGCCATGTTCTTCTTTTTGAGTTTTTCTAGGAAAGGGAAACAACCCCAAGGTCACTTTGGTTCTTAGTACTTGATAGAGTAGGAGGAAATCCAGTTCAGGACAGCTTAAGAAAATGTCCAAATTATTAAGTTGAATTGTATAAATTGCTATTTTTTAAAATTAAAAAGTCCAATACTAGCAATTTGTACAGTTCAACTTAATTCATCACCTAAAACCAAGAAAGACTTCAGATATCTACAAATCACTTCTAAATGTAATTCCTTCATTCTTATTTTTCTGTTACTGGTTCCCTGTCACCAGGATCTATAAAGTTAGCAGTAGTGACTATTTGCTTGGGATGATTCACGTTTGCTTAACCAAGCAATTCAAAGGTACCTGAAAGTTGTAGATCTTCAACTGAACACCATAATCTATTCTACCTGGTCACACAAATATTATCCCCATATTTCTGTCTTAAATTCAATAACATCAAAAACTTAACAAATGAAGATTATGTATGCATAATGGTGAAACTTTACTTGATTCCATTTAGTTGAGGCAGTGTTGAATGTCAATTTGCTTTCAATCATATGAGTCAAATAATAGCAGCATTAGAGAAACTTTAGAAAATTATTTTAAAAAGAAAAAAGAAAATCACTGGTGGCCCCACAGTCTTAGCACAACAATTATTATTTTAAAAAATATCTTTCTGGTTATTTCACATATTTTTACAGTTGTAATCAACATATACATGCCATTTCATATCATTTTCATTTCATATCATATTAAATGAATTTTTATATTTAATAGTTATCATTCATTTTTATATTAACCAACTTTTCTGGCTGTATACCTGCCTGCCATCATATGCTGACTGGCGAAGCTCAGTGGCCAGCTAGCTATATTATTAATAAGGGCAAGGTAGTCTCAGTGCCTTTCTATAAGCTCTTGCTGTGAGTTTGCCTTTAGTAAATATTTTTTTACTATCTTTATTTTATTTTTATGTGGTGCTGAGGATTGAACCCAGTGCCTCATGCATGGTAGGTGAGCGTTTCTACCCCTGAGCYACAACACCAGCTCCTGGTAAATATTTTTAAAGAAGAATTTAATTTCCTTTATTTACAAATATTTATTATAGTAATATTCTTTGTATAGTAAATTTCTTAAAAAATTTATTATCTTTAAATAAATTAAAGAAACCTTCAGAAATTTGGAAATTGTTTTCCAAAAATGATTGTACTACTTCCTACCATCAGTGTGTGAGTTCCAATTGTCCCACATGCTCACCAGCACATTATATGATCACTTTAAGAAACTGATTATGGTTTTAATAGGCATTTTCTTTCTTAAAGTTCTTTTTAGTAAATAGCTTAAAAAACACTCACTTGGCTTTAACTTTTCGAGATTCTCTTCTCTTCTCCTGTTGAAGCTGTTCAATTTTCTGTTGCATTTCTTCTTGTTTGGAAGTGATAGCCTGGATCATTGACATGGCATTGCTCAGCTCTTCCTAAAAAATAAGCATTGCTATATTTCAAACTGGTATGTAGGATAAAAGCATAGAACATAATATACAGCACTCCATAAGTTTTTAGTACATACTTATTGAATGAATGAATGAATCTATTGTGGCCCCTGATTTTGACACAGAGCTCCAAAAAGAAAAACAGGAAATAAATATTTTTTTCATGATAACTAGTGAGTGGCTCAGAAAGAAAATCTTTTTTGTTTGTTTGTTTTGGTTTGGATTTTTTTTTTTTTTTTTTTTGGTACCAAGGATTGAACCCATATGTGCTTAACAATTGAGCCACATCCCCAAACCTTTTTATTTTGAAACAGGGTCTTGTCAAGTAGCTTAGGGCCTCATTGAGTTGCTGAGGCTGGCTTTGAATTCACAATCCTCCTGCCTCAGTCTCCTCGGTTGATGGGATCACAGGTGTGCGCCACCATGCATCAGGAGGAAAATTCTTATATCTGGCTGCTATGGGAAAAGCCCCAACATACTCTTTTCAGCAGGAAAACAAAAGATGCACCTACCTTGAAATAGTTTAATGAATTCTTCATCTCAGTAACTTTTTCTTCCATGGAACACCTACAGCTCTTAACCTTTTCTTCCAAAGCATATTCTCCATGTTGGATTCTTGACAGTTCCTGCATTGCTTCTGTGAATCCAGTTTTCAGCTCAGAGGCTAAGGCCTGCAACTAAATAATGCATGAAAAATAAACTCAATTTGCTGTAAATTATTATAAATGGCACCACTGCTCCTTGAATTCTTCCTCTATTTTCTTCTTCTTTTTTTTTTTTTTTTTTCTTTTTTCAAGAAACCAGGCTCTTGGGCTAGGGATATAGCTCAGTTGGTAGTGTGCTTGCCTGGCATGTACAAGGCCCTTGGTTCAATCCCAAGCACCACACACACACACACACAAAAAAAAAAAAAAAGGTAAAAAGAGAGAGAGAAAAACCAGGCTCTTGACAATCTACAGACTTCATTTACTAAATTTGGACAACTTAAGGGAAACTTGGCCCTGTTTGTCTTCTTTATACAGAATATGTTGAAGCTTGGCAATAAAACAATCAACTAAGTTTATGCAYGCCCCTGCAAACTACTTTCATTTCACAGCTTTTGATTAAAATGCAGTCTACTTAAAAAGCCATGTAAGTATGTGAAAAAGACAATCTTAATACAACAACTCTGAATTCTGTGAAAGAACGGATAAGTCACATTCCTCTTGGTTATTAAGAGAGGATAAAGAAATTCAGGGGTTTTTTTTCCTTAAAAAGTTAAAGAATAAGAACAATAATACCTAGAAATAATGATAATTTCTTTGAAAGAGAAAAAATAAGTGTCTTTCTCTCTTTCTTTCTTTCTTTCTTTCTTTCCTTCTTTCTTTCTTTCTTTCTTTCTTTCTTTTTCTTTCTTTCTTTCTATTCTTGGGCATTTTCCATGACAACAGGCTTTAATCCATAAGGAAGGCACAGAAGTATCTGTAATGGCAGAAGTGTGGCATGTTGATGGTGATGTGAATCATCTTCAGCAGTCCAGTCTGTCGAAGGACTGCCCACATTGGACTTCTATTGTCAAGTTCCCCACGGTGGTGAGGTAATAATTTCAGAATTAGGTTGGGTACAAATCCTAGCTCTCTTCTAGAGAGCTCTTTTGCAGCAGTTTCCTTATCTTTAAGATAATTATAATAATGTTTATTTCACAGGGATGTTTTGAAAACTAAATGAGTAAATGTGGGTAAGGCACTTACTATGTCATATGCTTAGTACACAGGTATTTTTAAAAATTAATTATTTCCTCTTTATGTGACAAATCAAAAAGTTAAATACAAACAGAAAAGTAGAGAAAATGGGGCACTTCTAAAGGTCCAGTTTTATTTTCTGAACAATAAAAAATGAATTTTCAACAAACAATAAATTAAGATAATATAGGATAGCCAGACAACGACATTACTTTCTTGACACATATGACCTTATACCCAGCTAGGTAGAGAAATTCTTAACTTCCCATCTTTCTTCAAGACATAATGGTCTCGAAGGTTTTTTTCTATAATTTAAAATATTCACCAAGAAAGTGTCTTCATATGTGTACTTCTATACATTTTCAGAATCAAGTCATCCAAATGGTTTCAATTTGAAGCAACACGTTCTACTATAAAATRAATCAGTATCCTACCCTATGTTTTAAAAACCAGGATTATTTGTTGTTGTTGTTTAAGTGTGTTTCACAAATGGTTTCTTTCTAGGACTGGAAATAGGGAAAAATAAGAGGAAAAGAAATAAATTTTAGGAAAAAAAATCAGAACTTATTAAGTGTTTGGGGCTCAAAGACTTAGAAACAACATGAGCAATCTGAGTCTGATTCCAAAAATTTTTAGTTAAAGCTAATCATTATGATTGATCTTAGCATGTGTACTAAACCATTATGATGGATTAAATCACCAGATCAATTACTTTCTGATATGCTAATTTTTATCAGATAAACTCATCTTCTGTGAGTAAAATAAAATTGATTGCTATATAAACGTCAGAGCAAAAAGTATGCAAGTTTTAAAACTGAAAGAAGGAAATCTTAGGTTTCCTTACTTGAATCAAACAAGAGGGAACCACTATCCMAACAGAAATAGGTTTCATTATCACTGCTCCTATATGTGGATATGTGGAGTTTTTCTAGAAGCCAAAAGGCAACAGCAGAGTCTTAGGGAAAAAGATTTTTCTCACTTGTAGAAACTCAGCTCTAAAGTAATTTAAAACCATTGGAAGGTTCCTAACAACCAGGTCATAAAGGGACTCTGGGAATGCTAAAACTGTTCTGAGTGTCAGTCTACTTCCTCCCTTTATTTCTTCCAGAAAAGTAACACTGCTACTTTATAAGCTTCACAACCAGTGACAAGCCAGGAAGGGGATGCCATTATGGGCATAATCACACACCTGAGACAACACAGGGCTCTTACTGTCTTTAGCTGGGACAGATTGGTTGTTCATACCAACCTGACCATTCACAGCCTTGGGAATAAAAAGGAGCCAGAAGATGAGTGTCTTAACATCTTTTCTCTGCTCTCTCTTCAACATTCTCATCTGACAGCCCACTGCCCACCCCAAGGATTAGAAACAGGTGTCTACCTTGTTCTCCAGCGAGTTGAACACGTTCCTCATCCCGTTGATTTTTTCATGAAGCTGCTCTAGAGAGGTTATGATCCCTCCATTCTGCCGCTGGGGGCGGGCTCCCACTGGAGGTAGGTTCAGGGAAGACTTGAACTTCAAAGCCTAGGGTTCCACAGAGGGCAGCTTAGGCTCAAAGAAATGGGGGAGCGGAGTCGGAATTCCTCCTATTTCCTGCTGTTAATTTCTGCTTCTCAATTTTCTTTCCCTTCTTGGCTTCTGAACTCTTCTGAAGATGATTTTTAATCAGTGTCTTCCAATTTGGTTTCCACCAAAGATCTGTCAAGCCTCAAACTAAATTTCTCATGAATTCCAGCTTGTTTTGTTTTGTTTTTACATAAACTTCCCATTCCTTTCTGCCACATGACCAAGGTCAGGAGGCTACCAAGAGGTAAATTCAAGAGACTGTGCCTATACCTTGGGAACTCTGCAAAGTCCTAATGTCAAGGTTTAGGAAAACTCCACAAGGCATGTCAAATTCCTACCACACTGGACTTCACGAGGGCAAAAGGTCAAGTGTTTTGGAGTAGCACATAATGGCAAGGATGCTGGGGTGGTTGCTTGTTCTCTCTGCCAACTTCCATCTTCCAATTTTATTTAGGCCTCTTTATTGATTCCCCCAGAAATGCAATGATTTAAAGCACTAAGTGGATAGTAAGTAATTTGAACATCAACAGCAATTTCCTAATCTACGGCTCTACTCTCCTGCAGAAATCATCCTTTCAAGACGATGTTGATGCTGAGGCGAAGGCTCCTGTGTTAGAAAGTTGTCTTATTCATCCCTGGATACACTACAGGCCTAGAAGAGTTTAACTTCTCTGGGGTTAGAACATTCCTCAATGGCAAAAAAAAAACAAAACACCCTGAGGCTCAGCCAAGACTTACAAATCCTAGAAGAAATTCAATGGCAGTTTGGATGATGAAACTTATTACTGTAGGACTGGTTCCCATAATTTTTCAGTTAGAGGTCCTTTTGGCACCTAAGTTATTTTCTTCAATTATTTTAATTATAGAGAAAAAGAAGAAAAATAAGAATCACCCTAAATCTCATCATTTCAGTTTATTCATTTTTTCCATTTCATTATATGTATAGATATACAGACATTTATATGGTTGAGATCACACTAGAGATATCTTCCCCTCTTTTTTCRCCCTTTGATTCTTATAAGCCCTCTCCCATAGCCTTCAAAATGTTTTCTATATGTCTAGTTTTTAATGGCTACATACTATTTTATTATATAAAACATGCCAGAGTTTACCTATTCATTTRCTCTTGGTGAACATTTATTTGTTATTTTTTGAGATTATAAATAATRCTGTCATATCCTGCTTTTTATTTAAAGCTTTGCATATATTTTGTTTATATTGYCAATAGGATAAATTCTGAAATATGAAATTACTATGAGTCAAAGATATTAGGTAAGATCTGACCCAAAGGGAAAAATCTACTACATTATAGGGAGGCAAATATTCAATTAATTAATAGTTCTATAAAATATATTTGGCCAGTGGGTTTGAAAATTATAATATTATGGTTGCATATTCTTGGAAGCATTCTGTATGGGACATAAGGTCCTAAAATTGTGGATTTAGGAAACTGTGTCTTGTATAATAAAATATATGAAGTGTAAACAATAGAATTGGAGGAAGCCACAATGTTTACATTCCTAAAACTACAAGAGAGCCAAAAACAAACAAACAAAAAAAACAAAAACAAAAAAACACCCCTGGAGTACCAGTCATTGGTGTGAGGGTTGGCTGGAATTAAGTTTTGCAGTTACCACCCTTTTTGTTTTAATGGACTATAATTTGAAAAAATCCATATGCAAACTGAAGTCATCAGGGATGAAACACCATCACCTGACTCTGGAAAAGAGATCTCATTCAGTGACTTTGAAAGGTATATGTGCCAGGAATTCAGGATGAGAGAAAAAATACACTTGGGATGGAATAAWGGAGAATATCCTGAGCCTAAAAACCCAACGGGTAATTGTATATTCACACTGATTGATGTTCTGGAGGTAATTCTACCTGGAATGCACTGGGAGATAGTACTACTCATTCTCCTTTTGACTTCTGGGACCTGATGTGGATTACTGTATCTTACTGTCACCAAGAAGGTCAAATCTATCCAATAGTTACAGGACAGGGAGCCAGTGATGGATTGAACATTTGAACACATTTCCTGCATTTTAACTAATAATTTTTCTTAAAGTTTCTACCAATTTATACATGAGAACTAAATATTATTTTATTATTTGCTAAAGTAGATAATCAAAAAATAATGCTTCTTATTTTAATCATTACTTTTTTGAGCATCAACTTTTTTTGCTTATTAACTAAGCTATCTATAACTTTACTTTGAAAAATTGTTTGTTTTCTTCACCCATTTTCTATTTGGGTCTTAGAATAATCCATTTTCATGAGCTATTTCTGTATCATTAAGCTTTTGCAATAGTGGTTGAAAGCATTTAGTTATTTTTTTAAGATGTTTTTATGTTGACAAAGTTGTAAATTGAGATGTGAATAAACTCTCAAACCCTTTTCTTTGTGATTTCTGTCAATTTTTTTTTAACATAAAAAGACACTTTACATACAGAAACAAAATACTTATTTTAAAACTTTTGATTTGGTTTTTATACTTAACCTTTATGACAAACCTTTTGGAGATTGTTTTGATTAGAGTATGAAGTGAGGATCTCTTCTTTTTTTCCCAAAGAATCAGTTTTCCCAACACTGACACCAGACAATGACTACATCAGACCTTTTGTCTCAAAGCAATATACACATCTTGCATATATTCATTAATTCATTCATTCAACTAATATTTATCGAATATRCATTATATCCCAAACACTGTGCTTTATGCTGAGAATACAACAAAGAGCAAAATGGACTAAATCCCTGCCCTTAGAGCTTACATTCTAGATGAGGAGACAGACAATTTTTTAAAAGAAAGTTACCACATCCGATAATGTCAAGAAGGGAAGAGATCTATCAAGAAAATAAAATATGGAGATACAGAATTGCTGAAATTTCACATTTTGCTTCAGATAGTTTCCCTTGTAATAGGTATTCTCTTATAGATAATTCCTTCCTACATCCCTCTTTCCTCTTCTTTACTTCTTCTTCTCTTGGTTAAAAGTTGCTTGTAGTAAACAGACTTAGGAAAAGTTCTTTTAAAACAAGGATGGGATTATAATAGTGTCACAGGRGTCACCTAGACCAACTTCACTTTTACTGCTTTGTATATTCCACTGTGAACAGATGTATTTGGGTTTGTGATATGATAAGCTAATGAGGCCACCCCCATCGCAGCTATATTTAGCCAACATCCAGGGAATGACCTACATAAAATCTATAATAGACTTTAAATCATACCTGAGTTTAAAGAGGTACTCACACTGATTCAAATGCCATACACAGGTCAGATGAGAACAGATGAGAAGTGGGCAAGGAAAGCATTTAGAGAGAGGCCTAGGATCAGTGAGGCACCAAATCAACACCAAGTGAAGACCAACTCTGCTTCTTGGCCTTCGTTTGAGCTGGTCTCGCTGCCTACTTAGCCTTCTCGTATCCACTTGTCAAATGACCAACTTGTCCTTAAATGCCTACCTCAAATCATTTAGTCTACACTAATTCATCTCTCCCTGTAGATTTAATCAGTGCCTCCACTGTAATCTTTTCAAAAACTTTCCTTGCAAGAACTATCTAGCATATGTGTTTTCTAGGTTGTAGACACTTAAAAATCAATGAGAATGTTTGTTTTATCTGTTTAACCTCCCATTAAACTAAATAGAAGACTTTGCACATAATAACTACTCAGTAAATATAAATTAAATTAAAGGCTGCTTTCTCTACAATTTCCCAGGACTGATTTAAGTCTAGAAACAATATGTTTAAAAATATTTTCATAATCCTGTTCTGGTTTGCCCTCAGTGGTCCCATACCATTTGAACTCTTGCATGATATTTCTGGGCACTAGTTGCTATTTTCACTCTTGCTGTCACTTAAACTCAACCAATTTAAAAATATTTCTCCTAAACTATCTGTTCCTCTGAACTCCAGTTCTTCATCTTGAAAGACAACTCCTTTTCCTGGTTACCAGGGCTTAAAACCAGCTTAAAAAGGACTTTTCTCTCAACCTCTGCTAAGATCTGACAATACCTCTGTCTTTCTCATGTATTCCAGATAATACTGTCTTAAGCCTAGAGAGGAACATGGATTTCCCTAGCCTTATATATTCCAAATTATGTCAGAATAAATTTCCATGATTTTTAAAGATAAAAATTGTCTTCAATTTTACAGTTTGAAAGATAGAAGACAAATAAATTCCGTTGACAGAGCCAAAGCACCTGATGTCACTCTTGCTGCAAAGATGTTTTGCAGACTTTTTTTTTCTAGTTGTTAATGGACTTTATTTTATATACAGTGCTGAGAATCAAACCCAGTGCCTCAAACCTACTAGGCAAGCACTCTACCACTGAGTTACAACCCCAGTTCTCTTTTGCAGATTTTTTATCTTCTTTGTAAATCAAATTGTTCCCATTGTTTAAAAAAAAAAAGCTTAAAATTTTTCTATCACCATATTTGAATACTTGCAATGATAGCTCCTTTCAATTCTCAGTTCTTTCTGTTAAAATAGGGAACTATTTAGCAGAAAGGAACTTAGGGAACTTGCTTGTTCCTCTTTGATGAAACTGTTATATTRTATGATGTAAGGGCCAATGTGACTGTAGCACCAGGTGAGAAAAGCAGAGCTGAGATGGGATAGTAGTGCTACATTTTATAAACTGAATAATTTGTCCTACAATAATTGCTTCTCTCAAACATACAATGTGAGAGGCCCTCTGCCCTGTCTATCTCAATCTTGTGAAGAGAACAAATGTACGTGGAAGCACTTGTGAGTGCCAAAAATCTCTGCACACAACCGACAGTCGCCACTGTCACATGTGGGAGCATTTAAAACAATCTATTTGTCTTTACCTGGTAAATCTGCGTGGAAGGACTATTCACCGGCATATGTTCATTCTCTCCTGTCGAAAGAAAGAGCTTTGTTTAATCAAAACAACTTGTTTTGTCCTTATCCTGTCTCATAAATATATACAGGGAATAGAGATCCTACAGAATTCTCTATATATGACTGCATAACATTAATTCGAGAACAAAAAATAAGCTGGATATAACTGGTTTTTCTGTTTACATCCTAACAAACAAACTAAATCTATCTAATAGAACTCTTGTAGAAGAAGACCATATTCTACCACAGTGGGGAAGTTTTTGGCCAAACTGAGTATTTAGTGATCTTTAAATAGAAAAGAAGGAATGCACAAGAAGTGTCTCCCTCATATTCTTGAGCTGACTGAAGTTTACTTGAGGGCATGGTTCTAATGCCAAGAAGCCTGTTCTTCCTGTCCAGGAAGGTACCAGTCCAGTTGTCATTTACTAGTTTCAGGAGAACTATATAAATGTCCCTTGCTTCTCCTACCTCTGATCCTTGCCATACTTCTGAATTCTGCCTTCCTATCATTGCCAAAATTAGCAAAGAGAATCTCACTCTCTTGCATGGTAAGAGGGCTAATAGAAGGAAATTGTCAATGAAAAGGTCTGCGAAGAATATAGGTGGAAATAGAACAGTATTGTCAATAATGGAGACTGGGAAATACAGGGCAAAAAAAAAAAAAAGAGGGGGGAAGGCATGAGTTGCAAAAATAATTTTCAACCTACAGAGGATAAACATTGGCCTACATTGAACCTTCCAGAACCACATGGGTTCTCCCTGAAGACAAGGCAAGACAACCCATGTGACACATTTAGCTCCTTGATCATCTGTTTGGCTACTGTTCTATTGTGTTAAATATATATATGAATTGAGCAGTTGATAGATGAAACCTCTGGTTGCAGACATTTGGTTGCCTGAATATGCATATTGTTCTCCTGAGATATGCAAAACATTAAGTTCATAAATAATATGTAACTCAATACACAGAACAGTTCATGTGAAATCCAGATATTTTAAGATTACCAAAAACTCCCAATATAATCTTGAGTAAGAATTTTTTAGTCCATTTTATACTATGACCCAACAGCCTGGCATAACAGCAAGAATCAAGACTTGGGAACACAGACCAGAATCCCAGACCTAGCCTTGACATTTTGTAGTTGCAGCCTGACTTCTCCATGACTGTTTCCTCATCCATAAATTGGAGATTGTAACAGAAACTTCTGTGTGGTTGCTCCTAAATGGTAAAGATGAAAAGGGAAAACTCAAGCTGAACACCACGCGTGTCTGTAATCCCAGCGACTCAGGAGGCTGAGGCAAGAAGATCACAAGTTTGAGGCCAGCCTCAGCAACTTAGCTAGACCCTGTCTCAAAATAAAAAAATTTGAAAAAAGGCTGGGATGAAGCTCGGTGATAGAGTGCTCTTGGGTTCAATCATCAGTACTGATAAAAAGAAAAGAGAAAGTTCTTGTACTTCCAGGCTAGCTAAGAAGGGGTTGGATTATCTGTATGTTGGCCTCAATGAGCATGTTGTTCTGAGGCAGTCCTAAGGGTACTACTGAAAATAATAATAATAAGATAACAAATTAAGCCAAATTTTATATAGATGACATTTCCTATTTGCCAGCAAGTCTACAATATTCATGGTCATTATATGATGACAGGGAAATCATGTTTGTTTTTTAGGGTTGTTTGTTTTTTGTTTTTTTTTTTCAGTTCTGGGGATTGAACTCAGGGATGCTTTACCTCTGAGTCACATCCCCAGACCTTTTGATTATTCTTACATTTTGAGACAGGGTGTTTCTTAGTTGCTAAAGGTCTTGATAAATCACTGAGATTGCTCTTGAACTTGAAATTCTCCTGCCTCAGGCTTCTAAATCCCTGAGATTACAAGTGTGTACCACCATGCCCGACTGGGAAACAAGGTTTTGAGACAGTAGCAAGACAAGACTAAAACCTACATTTATTGAATCCTGAGCTCTAAAGCAAGACATGGGGAAATCTGACCTTGCTTTGTTTTGGTTTTTTCCATGGTGCCTGTTACTTCTCTCCTCCAGCTTATTCTTCAACATTGCATCATCATTGTCCTGATCAGGCCACCTCCCCTTCCCTGCACCTGTGGATTGAAATAAAGAATAGGGATAGMAGGAAGAACTAAGGAAGAAACCGAACTAGCTTTATGTGTTAACATGAAAAAAAAATTGAACACATCTTGAGGTTTACATAATTTTAGAAGAATAAAAATATTAAATTGAATAAATATGTAGCTTAAAACTTAAAGGGAGATAATCATTTTTAAGTATGAAATTCATTGCTCAAAAATTATGGTGGCTTTTAATTTGCTACATTCTTTTTTGGATCAAATAAACTAATGTCAGGCCCACTGATTCTATTAACAAGGTATAGTTCAGAGAAATTATCTTAAGAAGAAAAGCCTTTGGCAAGCGTGAAGGCCAGTGCACATATATGTGGGACCTCTTTTTAGCCCTCCAGCATTTTAACCCTTTCCTATGTTTGAAGAATCCTCCCCTACTTATGTACCTATTAAGGCTGAAAGTGCCAGGTTCTCCTATTCTCCCTTGCAGCTAAGAAATGAGGGACACATGACATAGGACCTGCCGCTTAGATGTCCCTACCCAAACGGACACTGACAGATTTCCTAAGGCAGATTGACTGGATATACTTTTTACTTTCTAAGAAATAGGAAGAGTTGTAAAGACAGCAATGGCAGCAAGGTACCGAAAGCAATAACCATTCTCTGGTACAGACAGCTTAGGAATCTCGAGCCACCTCTTGTGTTGTTTTCCTCACCAAAATGGCTTTATCATATGATGTGGGGCATTGTTGCTGGCCACTTGATCCCAGACTTGGTTCTCCAGTCTCCCAGAGATTCTATTCTTTCAACAGATTCTTTCACTGTTTAAATCAGTCAGTTCTTTTCTGTTGCTTGCTACTTGGAATACTGATGGAAATAATCAAAATATGTGAATACTACCCAAGACTGAGAAAACACCAATTTAAACTTTGTTCATCACTCAAGAAAGACAACTCCATAGTGACAAGATACAGATCAATAGTCACCTACATCAGGAGGTCAAAAGATGGCTGAGAAGAGGTTCAGGAAAATTTTGAGGGTGATGGAAATGTTCTATTGCTGAATCATGGTAGTGGTATAATAGGTTCAGAAATTTGACAAAATTCATGGAATGTTTATTTTAATTAGATGCATTTTGTTCTGTATAAATCACACCTCATGAAAGTTAATTTAATTTTTTTTTGTTCACATACTGAGGCCTGTAAAGCAAAATAATAAGTTGGGAAGAGGGTACACATAGGTGAAAAAGCACTATTAACACTTACATATAAGAAGTAGCTCCAAATCAAGGCCCTGCTCTTTAGAATCCTGTACATTTTTCATGTGGGCATGAAAGTTATGTCAAAGTAGAGCATCTTCCCTAGCTCTCCTGAACTTCTTTTCATAGTCAATACAGCATTACTAAGAAAAAAACTTTATTCTCTTTAGCAATTATTCATTTATCATATATTAAATTGTTCCATGATGAATACATTTAAAATTAAAGAATATTAGAGCAAAAAAGGCCCTGAGAAAATTATTTCATCCAGTTTCTTCATTTATTTATTATATGTAATATATATGTGTATATATATGCATATATGTATAAACAAATATATATATAGTAGTTGCTAATTGACCTTTATTTTATTTATTTATATGTGGTGCCGAGAATCAAACCCTGTACCTCCCACATGCTATGCAAGTGCTCTACCACTGAGCYACAACCCCAGCCCCAACCTCTTCATTTATAAGAGAAGCAGCTGATGCCAGGAAAGGGAAGAGGAGCTATCTGCCAAAAGCCACGGAGCTTCGAAARTCATTGTTAGAAGTAATTTCTGTTCRTATTTGGGAAAAAAACTTGAAATATATAAAGTCCTATTCTTGTTAGATATTTCAGCATAATTTATTCCTAGTGATTTAGTTGTCCAATCTATAAGTAACTGAAAACAAACAAGCCAAAAAAATCATATATCCTGGATAGAATGAAAAAATGTAAAAAAAAAAAAATTTAAAGAAAAACAATGTCCACATTTTCAGAGCTAGACATCATCCAGCTCACATATGGACATATGGCTGCTGGTTTCAAGACATAATAAAAGTTGTGTGACCGATAGCAGTTAAGTTAGAAATCTTATTTTATTTAGTTAATTACAAAAGCAAAAACCTATATTAGAGAAAACTTGGAAAGTGTGGAGGGGGAAAGCTTGTATGATGCCTCTCCTGAAGCAACTACCATGATCATTGTTTGTACTGCCTCACAATCTTCTTTCTCTGCAATGTTTTGCAACATTGTTAATGGAGCAAACCTGTTAATGAAGCCTACCTAATTTTCCATTTATGTTGTAGCATGTACATTTTACTTTTCTTAAAAAAAACTGTATCATTATTATTCATGCTGTTTTTATTGTGCCCATTTGTTCCTCCCCAATTTCAACTGATGTTAATCTTTGCTATTCTTTTCCATTCTTCATCCTTATATAATTACATACAAAAATAAATGCAGAAGATGTATGTATGGGTGAGACTGTCATTGTAGGTTTATACTATACCCTTTTGCATCTTACCTTTCTCATTTAATACATCATGGCAGTCTCTCCAAATTAATTAACATCTTATCTAAGAAAATATTTTTTCCATATTATTATTGGTGGTATTATAATTATGTGTAACGGTGGGATTCAACAGTACATACTAAGAATTTATTCTTAATGGCTACATAATACTTCTTGCTTTTAATGAAATGTGTTAATCATTCCTGTACTGATAGGCATTCCCTTTATTTCCATTATTTTGTCACTGCAAATAATGTTACAACAAATATCTTGGTACCTATTTACCTTACATCATATCAACCTTATATATTCCATTTTATTTATGTGGGGTTTGAAGAGGCATGGTTAGCATTGAATGAACACCTCAGGAGCATTGAATGAACACCTTTTCTCCTGCACCCCAGACAAGAGTGTAAATTAACATTTTTTAGTTCTTGTTCATCACTCAGGTGACAAGTGACATTTCATATTTACTTTTGCTGATTGCTAGTGCCACTGAGTATCTCTACATATACTTACTAAACATGAAGATTTGTTCTTCTGTAAATTATCTATTCCCCTAACTTATCCATTTTTATATTTGTTGTTCACCTTTTCCTTATCAATTAGTAAGAGATATTAATGCTTTGCCACATATTATATTGTACCCATTTTTTTTTCTTTTGACTTTGTGATCACTTTTGCTATTGAACATTTTTAAATATATGAAGTTAAATAAAATATTTTTCCTTAATTGCTGCTAGATTTCTTGGATTGATTTTAAAGCTATCTGCAATACCAAGATTATATATATATTTCTCCCTAAATTTTCTTCCAAGGTTTTTCTAATTCTTAAAAGTGTTTAATTAATTTAAAATTTTTTATATGGGAAAAGGTAATGTTCCCCTTCTGTACTATCCAGAGAGATAGCCACTTGGCTCTGCACAGGTTATTAAGTAAATTATGCTTTTCCTTAATGGAACAGCAGTATTTATTTTTGTAACATACTAAATTCTTCGATACACTAAAATATATTATGGGCTCTTTGTTCCATTCTTATCTATCTATCTACCCCTATTCCAGGATTAGAATATATTATATATAGATGTAATTAAATATATTTGGTGGGGCTGGGGTTGTGGCTCAGTGATAGAGCGCTCATCTAGCACATGCAAGGCCATGGATTCTATCCTCAGCACCACATAAAAATAAATAAATAAAATAAAGATATTGTGTCCAACTACAACTAAAAAATAAGTATTAAAAAAAATTGGTGGGCAGGGGATGTGGCTCAAGCGGTAGCACGCTCGCCTGGCATGCGTGCGGCCCGGGTTCGATCCTCAGCACCACATACAAACAAAGATGTTGTGTCCGCTGAGAACTAAAAAATAAATATTAAAAATTCTCTCTCTCTCTCTCTCTAAAAATAAATAAATAAATAAATATTTAAAAAAAAATTGGTGATGCAAGCCAACTATTATTTGTTTTTATACTTTCCATTTATTTTTCCATATGAACAAATGAACTCCAAAAAAAATTTTACCTAATACAAAAAAAAATTGAAATGCTCATTGTAATTGCATTAGATTTACATATTAATTTGGGAAAAGCAATTTTTTTCATATATTAAATCTTATCTAAGAGCAATATAGTTCTTTCCGTTGTTTGAATCTTTTTAGTTCTTTTCTTCTCTCTTTGTTTCTTTTTTCTTTTCTTCTCTGGGTGTGTGTGCTGCTGGGAATTAAACCCACTCCCTTGTTCATGCTAGGCAATAGGCAAGCACTCCACCGCTGAGCTACATCCCCAGCCCTAGTTTAGGTCTTTTAATCAGATTTTCAGGGAGGATGGAGATCCTGCACTTTTTAAATGAAACATATTAAGTATTTTTTTTTTTAGCTTTTATTGCTATTGTGAATAGCACTTTTCCCCATTTCCTTTTCTAGCTGGTTTTTGGATTCTCCATTTTGTATTCACCACCATACTAAATTACTGTATTATGGAAATTTTTAAATGAATATTTTTGTATTTCCTAGGTGATTTTTATCTTTATTTTATGTGTGTGTGTGTCACTGGGGATCAAACCCAGTGTCTCACACATGCTAGGCAAGTGCTCTACCACTGAGCCACACCTCTTGCCCCATCCTTATTTTCACACTTTTATATGAGTTTCAGAATAATTTTTACTTACAACGACAACAATAGACAACATTATCCATTTTCTTTCTTTTTTTTTTTTTTTTTTTTTGTGGTTCTAGGGATTGAACCCAGGGCCTTGTGCATGCGAGACAAGCACTCTACCAACGGAACTATTTCCCTAGCCCCATTTTCTGATTTTAATGTAAATGGCTTTAGTGTCATTTAAACTATTTGCTATTCTTGCTTAATAATCTATATCACACTTTAGTAGTTTCCTTCTAGTTCTATTTTACTAACACTTGTTAGAAATGGATATTGGATTTTATCAGAGCTTTCAGTAGCTATAGATAGAACTGTTTTTCTCTCACTGAG